CTGAGCAAGAAATTAAAACACTAGAAGATGAAGAGAAGCTTTTCAAAATGAGGGCAAAGCTGTTTAGATTCACTTCAGAGAACAATTTCCCAGAATGGGAGGAACGAGGCACTGGTGATGTCAAGTCCTGAAGCATAAGGGAAAAGGGACCATTCGCCTCCTCATGAGGAGGGATGAGACCTTGAAGATATGTGCCAACAACTATATCATGCCAATGATGGAGCTAAAGCCAAACACAGGCAATGACCTGGGTCTGGAACACCCACGCTGACTTTGCTGACGAGCTCCCCAAGCAGGAGCTACTGGCCATCTGCTTCCTCAGTACTGAAAATGCACAGAAATTCAAGACAAAGTTCGAAGAATGCAAGAAAGAGATCAAAGAGAGAGAAAAGAGAGGAGGATTGGGCAAAAAGGATAATGCTGAGAAAGTGGCTGAAGAGCTAGAAGCTCTTTTGGTGGAGGAGAGCAAGGAGTCTGAAGACGAGGACACCAAGGAGAAAGCTGAGGAGAAGCAATGCTTTTTTTTCCTTTTCCTTTTTAAAAAAGTTTGCCCTGTCCTTCTTTTCGGTTTGTTTTTACAAGGGAACTGAATTCCAACAAAAATTTAAAAAAAATAATAATAAATAAAAAAAGAGCCCTAACTGGTTTGGCTCAGTTGATAGAGCGTCGGCCTGTGAACTGAAGGGTCCCAGGTTCGATTCCGGTCAAGGGCATGTACCTTGGTTGCGGGCCCATCCCCAGTAGGGGGTGTGCAGGAGGCAACTGATCGATGTTTCTCTCTCATCGATGTTTCTAAATCTCTATCCCTCTCCCTTCCTCTCTGTAAAAAATCAATAAAATATATTTTAAAAAAATAAAAAAAGAACCAACCACCTATCCTTCTCAAACTATTCCAAAAAATTCAAAGGAGAGAAGACTCCCAAACTCATTTTACCAGGCCAGCATTATCCTAATTCTAAAACCAGATAAAAACACAACAAAGAAAGAAAATTATAGGCCAGTATCCATGATGAACACAGATGCAAAAATCCTCAAGAAAATATTAACAAACCAGATCCAGCAGTACATTAATAAATTCATACACCATGATTAAGTCAGATTTTTTCTGGGGATACAAGCTTTGGTACAATATCTGCAAATCAATAAACATGATACACCACATAAACAAAATGAAGGATGAAACCACATGATCATATCAATTGATGCACAAAAGCTTTTTATAAAATCCACCACTCATTTATGATAAAAAAAATCTCAGCAAAGTAGGAATAGAGGGAACATAATTCAACAAACTCATAGCCAACATCATACCCAATGGACAAAAACTACAAGCATTTCTGTTAATATCAAGAACAAGACAGGAATGTCCACTTTCACCGCTCTTATTCAACATAGTACTGGAAGTCCTAGCCATAGCAATCAGACAAGAAAAAGTAATAAAAGACCTCCAAATTGGAAAAAAAATAAGTAAAACTGTCATTATTTGCAGAAGACATGATACTGTATATAGAGAACCTATATACAGTAGGTTCTCTATATACAGAATCCACCAACCCCTCCCCCCAAAAAAACCCTACTAGAAATGATTAATGAATTCAGTAAAGTAGCAGTATATAAAATAAATATCCAGAAATCAGTTGCATTTTAAATTTTTATTTATTTATTTTAAAAAATTTTAAATTGATTTTGAGAGATAGAGGGAGAGGGACACACAGAGAGAAACATCAATGTGAGAATGAAACTTCAATCAGCGGCCTGCTGCACACCCACTACTGGGGATCGAGCCTGCAACCAGGGCATATGCCCCGAGCGGTAATCGAACCAGCATGGGTCAACATCCAACCAACAGAGCCACACTGGGCCAGGGTAGTTGCATTTTTATACACCAATAATAAACTTTCGGAAAGGAAAACTAAGAAAACAATCCCATTCACAATTGCTTCAAAAAGAATAAGATACCTAGGAATAAATTTAACCAAGGATATAAAAGACCTGTATTTGGAAAATTGTAAGATACTGAAGAAAGAAACTGAAGAAGATACAAATAAATAGAAGCATATACCGTGTTCATAGAGAGGAAGAATTAACATCATTAAAATGTCCATAATACCCAAAGCAATCTATAGATTCAACGCAATTCCTATCAAAATACCACTGACGTATTTCACGGAACTAGAACAAATATCCCAAAAATTTATATGGAACCACTAAAGACTCTGAATAGCCAGAGCAATCTTGAGAAAGAACAAAGTTGTAGGTATCATGCTACCTGATATCAAATTATACTACAAGGCCGTAGTAATCAAACAGCAGGGTACTGGCATAAAAATGGGTATATAGATCAATGACATAGAATACAGAGACCAAAAATAAACCCACGCCTTTATAGTGAATTAATATTTCATGAAGGAGGCAACAGCACACAATGGGGGCCCTGGCCGGCACTGCTCAGTGGTTAGAGTGTTGGCCTGCGCACCAGAGTGTCTGGGGCTTGATTCTGGTCAAGGGCACGTACTGGGGTTGCAGGTTCGATTCTGGTCGGGCTGAGTATGGGAGACAACCAGTTGATGTGTCTCTGTCACATCGATGTTTCTCTCTCTCCTCTCCCATCCTCCTCCCTTCCACTCTCTCTAAAAATCAATGGAAAAAATATCCTCACTTCTTGGGTGAGGATTAAGAAAAAAAAAAAAAGGGAACACACAATGGGGTAAAAATAGTCTATTTAATAAATGGTGTTGGGAAAATTGAACAGATATGTGGGAAAACAATGAAATCAGATCCTTCTTATACCATATACAAGAATAAACTAAAAATAAATTAGAGACTTAAATGTTAGACTCAAAACCATAAAAATCTTAGGAGAAAACATAGGCAGTAAAATCTTTCTCTTAGCAATATTTTTTTCTGATATATTGTCTCAAGCAAGGGAAACAAAAGAAAAAAATAAACAAGTGGGACCACATCAAACTAAAATATTTTTGCACAGCAAAGGAAACCATCAACAAAATGAAAAGACAACCCACCGAATGGGAGAATACATTTGCCAATGATGCATCTGATAAGGGGCTAGTGTCCAAAACTTATTAAGAACTTATACAACTCAACACACACACACACACACACACACACACAAACCCATCTAATTAAAAAACGAGCAAAAGACCCAGGTAGACACTTCACCAGAGGGCATATAGAGAGCCAACAGACATATGAAAAGATGTTCAACATCACTAATCATCAGAGAAATGCAAATTTAAAGCACAATGAAATAATCACCTTCTACCTATTAGAATGGCTACCATCAATAAATCAACAAATAAGTGTTGGCAGAACATGGAAAAAAGAGAAAAGAGAACCCTCATGCACCATCAGTGGGACTGCAGATTGGTGCTGCCACAGTACGGCATGACCTCCAAAAATTAAAAATGGAACTGCCTTATGATCCAGCATTCTACTTCTGGGAATATATTCGAAGAAACCCAAAACATTAATTCAAAAGAATATATGAACCCTTATGTTCACTGCAATATTATTTACAACCAAAACCTGGAAATGCCTAGGTGTCTATCAGTAGATGAGTGGATAAAAAAGCATTTACACAGTGGAATACTACTTGGCCATAAAAAAAGAGGAAATCTTACCTTTTGTGACAGTATGGATGGACCTAGAGAGCATATACTACGTGAAATAAGCCAGTCAAAGACAAGTACCATATGATTTCACTTATATGTGGAATCTAATGAACAAAATAAACTAAGAAAATAGAAACACAGTTATAGATAGAAAACAGACTGACATCTGTCAGAGGGGAGGGGAGTTGCAGGGCTGGGTAAAAAGGTGAAGGGATGAAGCAAAAACAAAAACAAAACAAAACAAAACAAAACACCCTCATAGCCAAAACCAGTTTGGCTCAGTGGATAGAGCGTCGGCCTGCAGACTGAGAGGTCCCGGGTTCGATTCCGGTCAAGGGCATGTACCTGGGTTGCGGGCACATCCCCAGTGGGGGATGTGCAAGAGGCAGCTGATCGATGTTTCTCTCTCATCGATGTTTCTAACTCTCTCTATCTCTCTCCCTTCCTCTCTGTGAAAAATCAATAAAATATATTTTAAAAAAAAAACAACAACAAAAAAAAACAAAACACCCTCATAGACACAGACAACAATATGGTGATTACCGGAGAAAAAAGGGGGTTGAAGAGGTAGAAAATGGTATAAGGGGGATAAATGGTAATGGAAGGAGACTTGACTTGGGTGATGAACACACAATACAATATACAGACTATGTATTATAGAATTGTACACCTGAACCCTATATAACTTTATTAATCAATGTCACCTCACTGGTCAGTAAAGAAAAAGAAGTTATAATAGTCAACAATTTGAGCTCTGTTTGCTACCTGCAAGTAGGCAAATATATACATTTTTACTTAAATTAATGCTTTAGAAAGTGTATTATAATCATTGTTGAAAACTGTAATTAAAGCTGTTACATAATCAGATTAGTATAAAATGTCAAAAAATATTCTAATTTCCCTCAATTTTCAAAATTCTATACCAATTTTTATATGGCCAAAAAAAAAAAAAAGGAATATGATGGCAGGAAAATGCAATATCACTAATATCTTTTTTTCTTACTGTTAAAACACCCAGTAAATTTCCAACCATATTGTAACAAAATTCTAGACAAGATTTTCTTTCAATTAAAAGTTAAGTGAAACAGTGATTTTAAATATTAGATTCAGAAGGCCTATCTATATATAATAGGCACCCAGTCCTCTCATGCTCAGTTACTATTGCTCATGCAAAACAAGTATTGCAAGTAACAAAAATTTCTTAAAAAGCAAAATTTATGAAGACAAGAATTTAATTCATTAAATTTCCAGGAACTGTTCATGAGATAATCTTCTCTGAAAGATACATCACAGTTCTATTAACAGGATTTTCTGATATGCATGAGAAGGTCAAATCAGACTACATCCAAATAAAACCCAACACAGAGATAGGAGCAGCGGCCCATGCATGGAATTTATTGTGTGCTACTATTTATAAAATACTCAGATAGTCCTGCACATGCATAATATTTCCAACTCAGACAGGAGACCATACAGGATACACTTTCTGGCAAACAAAACAATAGATGGTTCCGCTGCCTGGAGCTCTGAGTTGTATTCCAGGGCATGAGGGAAGCAGGCCACCAAAGTAAAGGGAAATACCAAACTACAGTGGCAATCAATACAGTTCAATAATTGTGAAAAATGAGCACATGGTTCCATTTAATTTAACCAAGCAGTTCTGTAGCTATCAAAGAAAATGTTCAACATGCAGTCTTGACTTTTATGCCTCCACTAACATCTGAATGATTGAATAGAACCATTGTTGCTTCTATGCTGCATTGCTTAATCAAAAACATTTCCAGATCATTTTAAAATTTCCTTTGCATCAAAACATAAAAAATGATAAAAAGCCAGCAGCAAATCATCCTGGTGGCTATTTAAGCAACTTGAGTACTCACAATAAACTAAAATTTCTCATAACATCTAGGTAACTTATACATGTTGTACCTGTACATCATAGGTCTATATATTAAATATTTGCAAAATGAAAACATGCATACACAAAATACGTCAAGTTTTACAGACATGATTTGAATTAAAATTTACTTTGACAATGTACAAATTTCTTCTAATGTATCTTAAATGAGTAATTCTGTAATTCTGTATTAATTTTGAAATTTAGAGGTTTTTTTTTCAATCTCTGGGATGTAAATCTCAGAAGATCTGGACAAAAAGATTCTGAATTAGTTTTTGGATTTGTGTTCAAGTAAGAGAGTCTTGTCTAGAAATAGGTTGTGCATTCATAATTAAAAAATACCAAGACTATATTACAGAATTAGCCACATTTAAGAACTATAGACCTGAGGTCAGCATTTTGTATAAACACCAACTGGGTTTCTCAGCATTTCTCAGCCCATAATTCAAAATACAGCTTAGTAACCTCAGAAATGTATTTTAAGACCATGCTAGTTCACCCTTTAAAGACATTCCATGGGGGAAAATGTCCACGTTATCTCTTAGGATTGCATTTGAAGTCATGTTTGAAAAAGAAAATCTAATTCTACTGAAGGGAAAAAGAAATCTCATTTGTAAACTTAAATGTGTGAACCACAAGCATAAATGGAGGTGCAGTGGCCCTCCAACGGAAATTGCCCCAAGCCCCTTGCTCACTGCCCTCTACCTTGGCAGCGATGACCCAATCTTATCAGATAGCACAATATGTCCCAGGGCCCTCAAGCCTTCATCCAGGAAGGGGGCTGAGGTCTCAAAAGCACAATGGTTTCTCCAGAGGGATTGTGACATTTACAGTCAGCTTGGCCGACCCCTCCAGCTTCTCGGGTAATCTGTCCATTTGGGGCCCGAGATGTGAGTCCCTGGGAAGCCGTGGGTCACTGGGCACTATGGTTGCCAGTCCCGTGGTTCTCAGTGGCATGTGCGGTGTTCAGAGAATTGAAACCATCTGGTTGTACTGCATCTTTCCGGGGTGGCATTCTCTCATTGATCCTATCCAAACCCTTTGCCTCTTCAAAACTGCAGATTCTATGTGGTGGAGAGAATCCTCGTATTGCTTAACAAAATGCAAATTTGATAAGTCAGTAAATGAAAAACATTTGAGATTTCAAAAACATAATCAATAAGTTTTACGAAGACATTAGCTGCATGTAGTAACATTTAAATCTTATTTAATCCTATCCCCATTCCAGACTTCCCCTTAAAATGTGAAATGTTTAAACCTAAATATAGACATGACAGCATCATAGATGACAAGTGTTAGCAGAGCCTTTAAAAAAACACACACAAAAATAACCCTCCTGTCTACAAAATCAACCTCTAGGCAATGGTCTCAGGGTCTCAGTCTGACTTCTACTACACCAATTATCCTCTACCTCAGACCCCAACATCACCAAGACCATCACAGTAAGGCAGCATCCATAATAGACAAGTGAGGAGGCTAAACAAGGTTAATCCTCAACATACAAATCTGTGTCAAAAGCTTGGGAGGAGAAAAGTAAAGTTAAAACTTAGCAGATCAGAACTATCTTTAAGGCCAAGGTATCATCACTCCATCACCACCAATATGAAAAGAAAAAGGTGGGAAATGCCTCCAGGAGTTAGATCTGTGTTTGGTTGATAGCAAAAAAATATTTATAGTTTCATATTTTAGAAGATGTCATCTTTAATTCACTGGCCATCCACTGCATGTTCATAAAAATAAATGGTAATTCTCCTCCAATTGTTATAGTTTCTCATTTACTTCATCTGGAATGATGTATCCTACATTAAAATGTGCATAGAAAACATTTCCATACTACTGATTGTAATCTGGTTGCTTTAATATGTGTAAATCCTGGGATTCAGAGTCAGCAAAGCATTTGCCAATGTGTAATTTTAAGGCAATACGTGAATATATTATTATTATTAGCAAACACTAGCCCAAACTGCAACAACAACAAAATCATAGTGACAGCTTCTGCACTTATGTCTAGAGTGGGTTTAACTTAGGGGAAAAATCTGAGTAGCACAGAATCATGCAAAATATGGAATAGATTTTTATATGCAACTTTAAATGCTATAATATTATAGCATAACATGATGTACTCTAAAGAATTCAGAAACATTAAATGCTAGTTGGATAATATACTATAAAAGGGGTAAACCCAGATTGTCATTATGGAAATCAGTCCTTGTGATTAGAGAGAGAGAGAGAGAGAGAAAGAAAGAGAGAGAAATGTGACAAACTGGATGAGTCAGTGAGTCTGATTCATCTTGGGTTGTGCAAGGTAGGAGTAAGACACACCCACAGGACATTCTCTGATGCCCACCCACACACCACAGTTCCCTGCCCAGCGCAAGGACTCTGATCGTACCTTTTTCAGCCTCAATAGCCTCAACTGTGGCTGTACAGAAGTGAGCAGAGGCATGCAAAATGAATGAGAGAGATGAGAAGGGTCATATTGTACAGCAGAAAAGGCAATGATCACTTAAAATATCACAGTACCCCATACTACATCATCATTTACTATTTAACATAATAGTACCCATATTAGAGAGCCCCATCCAATCCCCCTTCCTGATACAGCACAGTTTACACACAGCACTATGACAACATTGCTCAGAGCACAGAACACACAGACCTTCTGTATACACAGACACCTCAGCACCCATGCAAATGCACTACAGTATTAATTACCCATCTTGAGTTTAGTATTCTGATGGCCTTAGAATTTTCCAAGTTTATTATATCATACCCTTCACAATCGCAAGGAAATTCTCTAGGGTGAAATTATGATGGTAGAATTGTAGCAGGAGAACAAACAAGAGATTCTTTACTTTCTCAAGTAATACTCATTACCAGTTGGTTCCCTAAGATATAAACTAGGAAAAGTTAGCAATGTTCTTCCTGTTGCTTCTGATTCATAGGGCAAAGCTTAAGCTGCAAAAGTTGGTATGGCTACAATGAAATTTAAGGGCAGTAAACTTGGTGAATTACATTAAGTAGAACAGTTCTGTAGCTCAGTTGTTTGTGGGTAACCTAAAAGGACCCCCCTCTTGTCTACGAGGAACTTCCTTTCTATTCTAACATTGGTGTTCCAAATATCTAAAGATATTAATATCTATAGCCTTAATAAAATCCACTTATGTTCAGTTTATCATGAACTCAAATCTGCCACAGGTACTAATAACTTACATTCTCAAGTAAAGACAGATAAATGGCTATTAACATCTTTTCAAACCCAGCTACCAACTAGAGAGGAATCAAGAGTCTTAAGGGCAATAAATCCTAATTATTTCATGATATGAACATATACATAGGTCATATAAATAAGAGATGCATTCTTGGTAAAGCTTGTCTCTAACTCATTTAGAGAATTTCAACATATTTAGTTATACATTTTATAGTCAAAGATTCCTTTAGCTCACTCTGGGTTCAAATTGTATAAAACACTCACATTGAGAATGAGGACAATACTGCCTGACAATATTGCCAATCATCCACATTACCCAAATAAACACACTCAGAATATTTACAATAATGCCATATCCCTTCTATTTTGTTTCTTCTAGAACAGGACACTTAGAAGAATTATTCTTGAAACAACCTTTTAGCAGTACATATCATTTAGAAATAAATTTTATCCAAAACAATTTTTAATGTGAAAGGACATTGGTGAGTCTAAGGAATTAAAGTAGACTAAATTACAAAAGGTTGTTGATCTCAACCAGATACTAAAATGAAATGGGGACCCAAAAGAAGTAGGATGAACACTGAATAAGAAAGGGAAGAATTCTCCTTAACCATTAAATATAAATCAAAGCAGACATACTTATTGTATACCACTGTACAAATCACCATTTACAAAATCTAGCCCTGTACATTTGGACAATACTCTTGGAATTTTCCCAGACAGAAAACTGGGATAAATGACCTATCTTTTCTTGACCAGCCTTGGAACACCTATTCTTCAAAATATGGACTATTTTTCTTTATAATTTAGAAATTGAATGGGGGGAAAATGCCAATCAGAATATTTTTAGAGTTTGTAGTAACAGAAGTAATTTTACATGAAATATTTTATAACTTGTATTATATATGGCAATTAAAAATAAAAACATGTCACTATAAGAATTAGTATTTATTTGAGCATGTCAATAGTTTTTTTTTTAAGTTTTAGGGAGGTCATGTGTACTTTTTTTAGTGTGTCAATAGTTTAAGTCTGCTAATAAACTTCAAAAATGATGAAATGTGACATTATACTTTTGAAATTGTTCTATGGGCTTTTAATTTGATATATAAAAATGTTTTCTAGGTCAAATGATAATCTCTGTCCTTCCTGAGGCCTCTAAATGCTTCTAAATTCTTTGCAGAATACAAAATAGCTTAACATACTCAAAACTGCATACCATGTCAAACTTGAATGTCAAACTTAGAATTAAAAGTTAATTTGAAGCAAACATTAAAGTGAAAAGAAATAGATCTGATAATTGCAAAATTCTATCTGAAAGGCACTATTTTTCCTTTCTTGGTTTTCAGTTTTACAGAACATCTTGACACGGCCTTAAAAAGTTTGAGTATAGTGCTGTCTCAAATTGTGTTCCACAATATTACACAAGGTAAATGATCAAGAGGAATTAGACATTACTAAAAACAGAGATGGCCATATATTTTCCCATATAGGTCTTGATGAAGTTAGCAATAAAGGGCTAGATCTCCATCAAATTTCCATGAAGAAAATGCACAAAAAATATGAATATTAAATACGACTGCAATAGAGTTGTGCAATTTGTAGTAACACTTGAGAAATATCACAAATTAACATTAAAGTTATTGAGAACATAATTTTTGTTTTCTGACAACAGAACTGAGTTCTTAGAATTTAAAAACTTTCTTTTTGCAATAGTTAATTCTCAGTTATTCACATCAGGAAACGTGTCTACTAAAATTTAAAATGTTAGATAAGCTTGTAAACAAACACAAAATTGAAGCTTTTGTATGAGTTTCATGATTTGTTTCAAAATAAGTTAATCTTATGCTAGGGAAATCACTTCAACCAAATGGTCAAACCACTCTATCAAGAGCCATCACTGGCAGAACTAGGGAGCTATCTAGTTTTCCAAATTGGACCCCGTTAGCTCAGCGCCAACCAGTAACTCATTCTATGCTAGAAATAGACAGGTCCTTCAGTAGAATTGTCTTACAAACCTTCCCTGAAGTTGGGGGTGATTTCAAAGTGGAAAACTGAGCTTCAGGCTGCAAATTTAAAAAAATAGAAGTACCAACTGCCAACAAAGCACTAATTAGCAGGTGCTAATTGTGAAATCTGAAAGAAAGATTTGTTGTGGAAACAACGTAAAAGTAATAATATATCCAAGGATGATTTATTTATGTATGAAACCCTTTCAAGTTTCTTTTTCTTTTCTGAACGAAGAAGGGGAAGGGTATAACATTTTTCAAGCTTATTAAAATTCATCCTTTTTCTATTAACACTGTTACAAGTTTTATTGAATGTTTAAGATTTTAATTTGTTTCAATCAAATTCTTTTTAGTTCATTTGTCTAATGTTTACAATATTAATAAAAAAAATGGAGGGCAAGGGATATAAAAAAATAAAAGCAGATTTGTAAATAAATCAAAAAAGAAGGCCTCATCCAGAATGAAAATTTGAAACTACAATTTCAAAACATAGCTGTATTTCTCACATATGCCAGTGGTGGTAGCAGACAACACAATAACATATAAAATACAACATAAATAGGCTACAAGTAGAAATTATTTGTCTACAGGAAATATTATTTTTATTTATTTAAGCATTTATTATGAGATTGAGTGAAATGAAATTGTGAAAAACCAATCTAATTTAAATTTATCTTAAACTTTAAATTAAAATTTCCTTTTTGTTTTTGCTTTAAACATTTCCTAATTATAACACCAAAAAGAAATTGTTAATCATGACTAAGGAAAACATTGGATCTGTTGCTGCCTGTTTTAATAGAGCAGTGACCCTTGGAGGGCTGTCAAAAGTGGCTACAATAAAACATCAATTAAGCTTTCATATCACATTTTTGCTTTCCAACCACAAGGGAAAGAAATCTAGACTTTGAGCTACTGTGCATAGTCTATAACATTCACAACACTCTCTTCTATTTAATCTGTAATGGGCTTTCAAAAAGTTAACCCAGTGTTTTACACAAATATTTACTACAAAAAAAAAGTTTTTTTAAAAATATAAAATATTCAATGAGCCAGATTACAGGAATGCTTTACGTATAATTCTTTTTATTTTCATGCAAAATAAAGGCACACTTAATAACACCCTTTTGATTTTGACTTACAGGATTTAAATTTAACCCCTTATAACAATGACTTAATATCTAATGTTACATTCATGTTCAGAATGCACCAAGTGCAGCAACTAGAATGCAGCAAACTTCAAAACAAGGTGCTACAAAGTTGCTTCTACATCAAAAGGCAGACAAGTGTCTGATAGAGTAATTTAATTTAACATACTTTTACAGACATACAGCTAACCTAAAGAAAGACAGACAGATTTAGGAAAGCAGCTACATCTGCAGAGGAAGAAAACAGCATGTTACAGACAGTCGATTATACATAGAACATTTGACAAACACCACAGAAAACAAACTTTGGCATCATTTACCAGGGTACAAAACCTTGCACAAATCTTTTAGCAAGTAAGTGCATAAGTAATGCTCTGGGGCCCAAGCATATTATTACTTCTAAAATTAAGTATCTGATAATAAAAGCATAGTCGAATACAATTACATAAATTAAAAAAATAAGAAAGTTGAAATTACATTTCCATTTTAGTAATACGATATAGCATATCCTGGATTCACATTCTGAAACTGGGGCTTTTAAAAGAAAAGGGTGCATTAGATCGATAAATAAAGTAAATAAATATTTCAGACATTATGATATGATCTGCTCCCATATCATTTCATGAAAAGCTGAGACTATTATTTTCAATTGAAATGAATATTCTGTCAATTTTCTGCCCTGCTCAGGTTATTAATCAGATACTACCTATCATAGAGTATTCCACCTATGTCAGCTGCTGAGACAGGAACTAAAAAGCAGAAGGAATTCCCTGCATGCATTATGTGTATTGTTAGCAAAAGAGTGAGGTGTGCCCCAGTCCATCTGAGGCACAGCAAGTTGCATAACATCATTACCACTTTGCAGGGTCTGCCGTCCTCCAGCCAACACTCCACTAGGCAACATTCCTGTGGGAGTCAGACCCTTGAGTGTCAGCACACTTTCACTCTCCTCCCTATAGCAGAGATATAACAAACATCAGAGACATCCAATAAGTTCTTAGTTTAAAAGAGAAGATAGGCCCAGATATAGCCCATGTATGTAATTTATGATGTGCATTACTATTACCATATTTTCCTCAATTGCAAGATATACATTTTCCCCTATTCTAAATGCTTCAGATATGAGGTTGTACATTACTACTGAGGCATATATTGTTTTTTTTCTGAAAACCTTTATTAAATAAATATATGGTAAGGTTTATCATCAACGGGACTGACCCATTCATGTGTACCCTTCCTAGATGAGCCCCAGGAAGACAATTTGTGGCTTCAACAAAAGGGACTTCTTATACAGATGAGCAAGTTCATAAAAAATACTCTAAAAAGTGGCCCTTTCCTTCTTAGCTTGCTTTAATTTTCAGTGTATAGATTCTTTTATCACAAAGGACAAGAGATACCAAAGGTGAATAATAATAATCACAAGGGTCAAAAACCCTAGTTTCAAAGGGACCTGTTCCTCTCTTCAATGTGTAAATGTAGAACTTCTTTACAGGGAGAATACTACTATACTGCTTTTAGATGTCAAACAGGACACTGCTTGTTAACAAAGTACAATACAAATAATTTCTCTAAAACAAATAATTAGAAAAATGTATCATTACCTGAGAACAGAGAAGACTCTTGCCATCTTGCCAATTGCTCGAATTTTGTTTCTTATGATTTCTTTCCGAGCGGCAGCTGAACCTACTTTCAATGGAATAAATAAAGACTCAGGTTTAGGGCATTGACTTGCACCATTCTATTAGCCCAGTGGTTCTCAACCTTCTGGCCCTTTAAATACAGTTCCTCATGTTGTGACCCAACCGTAAAATTATTTTCGTTGCTACTTCATAACTGTAATGTTGCTACTGTTATGAATCGTACTGTAAATATCTGATATGCAGATGGTCTTAGGCGAACCCTGTGAAAGGGTCGTTCGACCGCCAAATGGGTCGCGACCCACAGGTTGAGAACCGCTGTATTAGTCTGTTCCACACTCATCTGAACCAACACCAGGCCCCTGCCACCAGCTCACATGGAGGAGACTTAGATAAACTCATGCCAAAAAGCCTCTTACTCCTTTAATGTTTAGCTCGGCATTGATCTAATACTGGGATCTGATACAGATGAAAATGAAAAGTAACCCATAAACTTTATGACTCTCACACTACTGAATAATTAATAAAACGGCAATGGGAAAGAAACTACAACCCAACCTGTATCACAAAACAAATGACAAAAAAATGATAACAACCCTACAGTCTTTGTTTAATTCTCATGAGAGCCAATGGCATGCAGACTAACAGACAAAAACTGGTAGTAGCCTATAATTTTATGTTTATTATAAAAGCCTTTGACATGCAGGCTGGGGAAATATCTCATTATGCTATGACAAAATAAGCTTCCTTGCTCTCTAAAAATAATGGTATGAAGCCACTACTATGCAGGTGACCCAGAACTAAGGGCCATACAAGGCATTTCAACAACAATGCGCATCTCAGCCTCATAAACTAGGTATCTTCTAAGGTCATACAAATATATACAAGTTCTTGCCTCCCTAGGTGAGTATGGCACAAGGAGAATGAGCAATGAGAAAAGACTCCCTAAAAAATATCTAAAGGATCACTAATGCTTCATTTCTTTCTTTCATTTTTTCGTTTTCTCTCTCTCCTTCCTTTTAAGAATTTTTATTACTTTATTTGAGCCAAAAATGAGGACAATTGCTGAGGAGCAAGATCTCATATGCTCTCTAATGCTTCATTTCTAAAGGGTTAGCTGTGCTATCACTGATACAGAAGAGAACATACCAAAATAACTGAATATTTAGCTGATGAAACACTAAAAAGAACAACAATCTCAGTGCTGTCATCTCATATACAGCACCTAGAATCACTCTGGACCTAAGAGTGTGGTTTCTTAGAACTGTGCTTCAGCATGATGAAAACACACATAGGGAAGCACCATGGTTGAGAAGAAAGTTAAGGAAAGGTTAAAGACACTGGACCAAAAGGGGCCTTAGGTATACAAAGGTCTGAACAATCATAGTCTTCTGGGCTAGAGCATCTCATTTAAAATTCAAGCATCCCACAAACATACATAATTAAAAACTAAGATGATGACTGGACCTTACTGCAAGGAAACAGAAAAAGAAATCCAATTTCAAAGATGAAAACAAAAGACACATTTTAGAGAAAATAGGCTCCATGACCATCTTTATGGTGCTATGAAGGGCAATATTATGAGTACTAAAGCTACAGCTTTTACAAGTCCAAAATGGTGTTGGTACCATGGCACCACACAGGTATTTTTAAGATGAAACAAAACAAAACAAAAACTAAAAGTCTCAGAATTGTAGAATATTAGAATTTGAAAAGACATTAAAGATATTGCAAAGTTCAATCTCCTCATTTTATAGAGAAATAAATCAAGCTTACTAAGTATTTTATCCAAGGATATAAAGTAAGTCTGATTCTCCTAAAATAAATTAATATATACATTTTGTTTTAAAATTGACAAAATTTTTTAAATAGCCAGGAAAGGGGTATGGGGATGGGGGAAGATGACTGTAATGAAGTATATTGAATTTTCAGTCTTAATTTATATACCTGTAAAACTGAATGCTGTGTAAACTACGGATTTCAAATTTAAAAATTCATTGGAATATAAACGCATTGTACAAATCAGGATTTTAAATCAGTCTACAAACACATCATGCATAATATTAAAGTAAATGTCCACAGTAAAATTACTTTGGGGAATAGACAGACAATCAAACACCCCTAATCATGCAGGGAAAAGTACAAAACATTACAAATAAGCAAAAGAATGAAATTTAAAAACAAGAGGAATGAAAAAGAGGGGAAAATATTTCCATGCACAGAAAGACAGATATCTTGGAATATGACTTCTAAAAACATCAAATTCTAACTTAGATAAAACTTAAACTAAATTTTCACAAGGCCCAAGAGGACTCTGCATAAATAGTACTCAATGAATGTGCTGACTTACATGGACATGAGGACAACTTATGAAGTCATATTTCAAAACAATGTTACTCTGTCTGGTCTGTACCTTTTTTATTGCCATATATGAGCCGTTCTTCAGATGGAGAGTCCAGAAAAAAGGAAGTGAATGATGGAAAAAAGGTGGTTGAGACAAATAAAAAGATAGAAATTTAACTTGGCAGTGGTACTGAAGAATGAATGTAGAAAGAGAGAAAAATGAAGACCCTCATATTTGAAATTTGAAAAATGTAGTATTGTAGGATGTGGTAAATAAAAGAAGGATGCCACTGTGTAGAGCTCTAAAGGAAAGATTTCTTAAAAGATATGTGTTCAGAAGAAATTAGGGACAGAATGAGTATAATATTTGGTGAGAGTAGACAAATTAGGGACAAAAATACATGTGAAAACACATAAGACTGATAGAAGACTGTGCTAACAACAATTGCACATTTATATTGATACCCCTAAAGAAATGTATCACTCATGGAAGTATGTTAAGTGAAAGGTAATGACACAAATATGATACAAACTCATGTGGTTCTTCAAGGACACCAACATCTGCAAAATCTGTAGTATATACAGAGAAATGTAGGTAACTTTATTAACTACCTCGGTGGAAAACCTCACCCACTCCCAATGAAGGAAAGACTAAGCCTCCCGCACTTCATAATAACAAGAGCACACAACTTCTTGAATCTGAAGTGCAGAATCTTTGCTCATACTCAGGATCAATAGTATGTGCTTTTTGTTCCTAATAGAATCTGGAAGTTTGAGGGACATCTTTTTGCAGAAATAGTGACAGACTGTTTCAAAGCAAGTAATAGCTCTAAGAGTAGGCAGCAGAGATGTTTCATCTGGGCTTTCCATATCTTCCATTCTAATGCTGAGTGAGATACATGATTCCAATTATAGGAAATGCAAAGTTTTAAGTTTAGTAAAACTAAAGTACATATGAGTTATGTATTTTCTCTACCAAACTCAAGATATCACAAAAATCAGTGTTCAAAAATTCTTTAATGATTAAATAATACCTCTAAAATGAATGCTATGTGCATTTATACATGCAATATGTTTATGCAAATATTTGACTTAACAATAACCCCACACATACATTATTAAACAATACAGAAAACCAAAGGCCATCACTTAAAAAGGAAAAGAATCTTATTCCTTCACCCAATTTCAAACCTGAATATACAAAAATTACTCTTTCCTTCCTGCCACTGGGAAATCTCCAATCTTGCTCTCTCCCTTTTCCCACAGAAAAGCTAAACCCTTATTCTGCCTCTACAGAAATCCCTGCCCAACCAAGTTTTATTTCTAAGTTGGATTTCTCCCCAGGCCCAGTCCATAGGATGGTTCCACTGCTGAATAGAAAAAGGAGGAGAGGACAGAAGACATGCTATCATGGTGAAAAGAAAGAAGAAAAGATGGACAGAGTTTTGGGAAAGAAATGAAGAAATATGAATAAGAAAGAAAAATAAACCTACTTCCCGAAGCTCTTTTCCTTATCCCAGCCCAGTACCTATCCTAATTTTCTCCGCCTTTCCTCATTCCTCAGTGTTTTTCCTCCACTAACGCACTCTCATTCCCCCTTGCAGACTCTAAGACCCATACTCTTAAGATTTTCTTGGAGTCCTTGCTTCTAATACCTGAGTATAAAGGTGAAGAAGAAGGGAATTCATTATATTTTCTTAGAAACACTGTCATAAATAGTGCTACCAATTTTTAAATTACTTAAGAGTGGGAAAGAATCTTCATCCTCTCTATTATTCCCTCAATCTACAGATGAGAAGATCCTGAGAAATTAGGTAACTTTTCCAGGATTACACAGCTAGTAGTATAATGGTAGCGCTGAGACACCTGACCCACTGATCCTTTCCACATTGCCTCTTTAATAATCAAATGTGATTCATCCCCGGAGGGTAAGAATGATATAACAAGTGCATGAATAAGCATAACTTATCATTGACAGGGAAAATATTGATAAGACACATTAAATCTCAGAACTATAATAATAGTACTTTATATTTCCAATCAAATTTCCAAAAGATTTAGTGTCTATATTCATATAAATCATAGGTATTTAAACCACGTACTATGCTAGACTTAACAGAAACTTTTTTTCTTTTTATTATAGGAAGAAGACTGAAGCATTACCTATTATTGCTCCTATTTAACATACTATTAGCAATATTGATATAATTTTTAAAGAATAAAAGGGAACAATATAGAAAATAAATAGTATCAGCTTTTTGATAATGACTTATTTTTAAGTTAAGAGAAACAAAATAAAAATTATCATAGGATGTAATTTTTCTGATCTAAGCTGTTGAACATTGGATAAACCCACAAATATGTCATTACTTTATATATTCTGAGATAACCAGCTATAATAGTAATAAGAATATAAAATATTAAAGTATTAATTTAACTTGAGAATAACAGATTTTTTTCAAAGAAAAATTATAATTTTAAATGGAATAATTATGTATTAAATAGAGTAATTATAGTAAGATAGTAAGTGAACTAATTATTTAGAGCAAAAGAGCTTGATCTTAGTTTGGAAAACTAAATTTTTTTAAACTTCCTAGATTTAGATATTGTTTTTTGTTAATTCTCACCCAACGATATTTTTCTGTTGATTTTTAGAGAGAGTGGAGGGAGAAGAGACAGAGAGAAACATCAATGTGAGAGAGACATCTCAATTGGTTGTCTCCCGCATGAGCTCCGACCAGAGCCAGGGATAGAACCTGCAACCGAGCTAAGTGCCCTTGACCGTAATCAAACCCAGGACCCTTCAGTCTGAGGGCCGACGCTCTATCCACTGACCCAAAAGGCTAGGGCTAGATATGGTTTTAATATAACCCAATGAAAACTCATACTAGATATTTCACAGAATTTGGCAAATTAACACAAAAATGTATCTGAAAATATTAGTGGGCTATGTACCAAAAATTATTTCAGTCACATCAATACCTATAACATTATAAAGTAGTTACCATTATCTTCATTTGGAAGATAAGAAAATTGAGGCTCAGAAAGGTTGAGTAACTTACTGAGGCCACATAGCCATTATAAGGAACTAGAATCTGAAGCCAGACCTAGCCTTAAAAAGGAGATAACAGAACAGGGAAAAGAAATACTTAATTAAAACTATTTAAAAATTGTATAGCCCAGCCAGCGTGGCTCAGTGGTTGAGCGTCAACCTATGAACCAGGAGGTCACAGTTTGATTCCTGGTGTGGGCACATGCCTGGGTTGTGGGCTTGGTCCCCAGTGGGGGGCATGCAGGAGGCAGTCAATCAGTAATGATCGCTCATCATTGATGTTTCTATCTTTCTCTCCTCCTTTCCTCTCTGAAATCAATAAAAAAATATTTTTAAAAAATTGTATGGAAAAGACAAATATGAAACATGTTAAAATTAAAAACTTGTACACAAACATGAAAAAGAGAGATAATCAAAATAAGGAAAAATAAGTATTATTCAGTAAAGCCCCCCCCCCCAAAAAAAACTACATAATTTATTTTACTCTAACAAACTAGAGTGAAAAAAAGCATATCTCTGCCTGCCACCAACAGATGGCAATTGCAGACACTTGCACACAGACACTTTGAACAGACGGGCCTACAACAGGGTTTAAGAATCAAACCTGTTTGTAAATAGAGAAATATCAAAATAGTTTTTACTCAGATTTTACTTGATAAGTGGTCAACTGAAATGGATGGTTTACACTGTTAGAAAAGTAGACAGTAATTTCTTCCCTTAACTTCAAGGAAATGTAAATTAAATGTAAATTAAACCAACTATAATTTCTTACTATACAGCCACCAAGCAAAATAAGTAAAAATGAGCAAAATCCAATGAGGTGGGCCTGTGGAGAAATAGATCTATGGATTCGTTGCTAGAAGCACTTCATACTGGTTCAATTCTTCTGCAAAGTAATCTGGCAATTCATAGCTAAAATAATATAGCTAAAATTTATATTCTTTACTCTATAATTCTCTTCTAGAAATTTATTCCAAGAAGGAAAATAAAAACTATTGTACAAATGTTTATTATGTTATTCATAATAGGATATCTTAAGTTATCCAAATGCCAAAAAATATGAAATTAACTATGAAAACTATTATATATTAATATACTTAGAAATAAGTAGTCATTAAATTTTACCAATATACAAACCATGTTTAATACATGGGAACATTTTATATACTGCTTATAACTATGAAAAGTATGCTACAACAAAGATATGAAGGGATATGGAAGAAAATAAAGTTTTTAGCTTATAAGTTATTTATGTACTTATTTACTCAATGAATTAAGTTTAAATAAATATTTAAATTTAAAAGTTTAAAATAAAAATTTCAAAACAAAAAATAAAAGGAATTTTGTTTCTGTATCTGTAGTATTAATTTATACTACAAATGCACATTAGGTACACAGGCTGGTTGGCTTTCATAAGAACTAACAACCCTGTATTGGTATAACCTTGTTTCTATGGAAAATATGCTTTCTGAATCTCAAACTTAACCAGCATGTGATTTCTTAGAACACAACCACTCACTCATAAGTTGGGACAACCTACTTTTCTTTTTGGAAAGAAGTAACAACAAAATTTTGATGCACTAAGCAATATTGTGCCAATAAAACAAAGAGCATTTTTATCCTTCCTTCTCTAAGCAGTGTCTATATTCATGAAGAACCACATCCTTTTACACCTTCAGTTTTCCTTTCCTTCTGTTCTTTCTTCCAAATTCTCCTTTCCCCAAAATTCATCTTCTTCCCCATACAAACAAATGAACAAAAATAAAATCATTAAAGTTATTTTAAAAATCTTAAAATAAATAGTATCTGAAAAAGTGACTGTTACTTATCAAATAGCATAGTCATTTGAGATCAATGACTATATTTTGCAAAAGAGTGTGTACTGAAGCTGGCAGTTCAAAAGATACCATTTCACAATGAAAAAAATAGTAAAATGAATAATCATACCATCAAACTGGTCTTCACCTTCAGTCATCAGTTCATCATCAGAGCAAATACTCAGAACATTTACCAACATTTCTGTCACTATTCCAAAGGAAAAAAAGAAAACACAAAGTTACACATTAACTGCTTACATTCAACTATCTACATATATATACACAGCAACTATTTATATAAATGGTCAAATGATTAACCCAAGACTAACACATTCTGATAGAAGGAATGACGAAATTAAAAGATATAAAGGCTTTCAAAATGAAAGAAATTCAATGGATAACAACTCTGAGAGAGATTCTTTTTTTTTTTATTGCTAAAAGTATTACAAAGGGTATTACATATGTGTCCTCCCCCCCCCGCCCCCCGCCCTTGACAATCCCCTGGCCTCCCCTACCCTCCAGTGTCTTATGTCCATTGGTTATGCTTATATGCATGCATACAAGTCCTGCGGTTGATCTCTTACCCCCCTCCCTCCTGCTCCCCAACCCTCCCTGGCCTTCCCGCTACAGTTTGACAATCAGTATGAGGCAGCTCTGCCTCTGTATCTATTATTGTTCAAAAGTTTGTAATGGTCTTTATTATCCATGAATGAGTGAGATCATGTGGTATTTTTCCTTCATTGACTGGCTTATTTCACTTAGCATAATGCTCTCCAGTTCCATCCATGCTGTTGCAAATGGTAAGAGTTCCTTCTTTTTTACAGCAGCATAGTATTCCATCATGTAGATGTACCACAGTTTTCTAATCCATTCATCTACTGATGGGCACTTAGGCTGTTTCCAGATCTTAGCTATGGTGAATTGTGCTGCTATGAACATACGGGTGCACATATCCTTTCTGATTAGTGTTTTTGGTTTCTTGGGATATATTCCTAGAAGTGGGATCACAGGGTCAAATGGGAGTTCCATTTTTAGTTTTTTGAGGAAACTCCATACTGTCTTCCATAGTGGCTGCACCAGTCTGCATTCCCACTGAGAGAGATTCTTTATGGAATAAATTTTTAGGTCTCTCAGGGGGGAAAAAAGAAGTCCTACAGAGATAAAAAAAAAAACACACACACCATCTACATATATACATTTAAATTCCTCATTTATGGATACAGCATTAAGGAGTAAGAAAAAAAATCATAGCACAGTTCCACTGTTGCAAAAAAGTCCTAGGATTCAATCTCTCTCTTAAAATTTATTTTAATTTAAATTATTTATTGTTTAAAGTATTACACATGTCTCCTTTTTCCCCCATTGACCTTTCCCCGGAGGACTCTTAAAATCTGGCTCCAGCCCTAACTGGTTTGGCTCAGTGGATAGAGCGTCGGTCTGTGGACTGAAGGGTCCCAGGTTCGATTCCAGTCAAGGGCATGTACCTTGGTTGCGGGCACATCCCCAGTGGGGGGTGTGCAGGAGGCAGCTGATCCATGTTTCTCTCTAACTCTCTATCCCTCTCCCTTCCTCTCTGTAAAAAAATCAATAAAATAAAAATGTTAAAAAAAAAAATCTGGCTCCAACAACTCTCCTGAAACTTAATTCTTAAGATTATCAATTACTATCTAACAACCTGAATCCATAATTTGTTCTTAGGCTTAATTCACCTTTACCATTCTATATATTTTTCTCTTGGTTTCCAGAATTCTACTCTTATGGTTTTTCTACCTTTAGACTACCCCCCCACCCCCCAAATTTGGATATTCTGAAGATTCTCTCTGCAGTCATGTTCTTTTTATATACTCAAATTTCTTAGTGATTCTATTACTATATAGTTTAAAGTATCAACTTTTTGAAGACAATTCCAAATTCTGTATCACCAGTCTTGACCTTTCTTGCAAAATGGATTTCCTTGCTGGTTTTATTGGCAACCATCAAACTATTTGTATATTGTCTGTTTCCCGCTTCTAGAATGAAAGCTTCATGAGTGCAGGGGACTGTTTTGTTTGCTGCTGTATCCCCAGAGCCTAGAACAGTGCCTGGCACATGATAGGCACTCAATAAGTATCTGACAGATGAGTAAATAAAAAAGAAAGGTATAATAAATTTCAATTAATAAGTAAAAATGTCTATTCAATCTTCTGATGGCAACTAGAAATGGACAGCTCTGGGATTCATATATGAAAGTCCAATCCCTACTCTCCAAAAGCTTACTAACTACTGAAGAATATATATGTGTGTATATTATATATGCATGCCACAGAAGAGTGATGAGCATAGCACTATGCTATAAGTATATAGAGGTATGCCAAAGATATGCTAGGGAAAGGAAAGCTTTTGGTAAAGAATCATGAGGTAGGAGTTTACCCAGGTGTAAAGGGCAGATAAGACATTCTAAAACAAAAGTTAGAAAAACATGAAGTAATCATATAGATCAATGGGATACAACTGAGAGTTCAGACATAAAACCTCACATTTAAGATCAATTGATTTTTGACAGGGGTGCTAAAAAAATTCAGTGGGGAAACAATAGTCTCTTCAACAAATGGTGTGGAGGAACTGAATAGCCACATGCAAAGAATGAAATTGCACATACTTACCACTTCACATCATACACAAAAATTTACTCAAATTGGATCAAAGACCTAAATATATCTGATAAGGGACTTGCATCTAAAATATATAAAGAATTCTTACAACTAAATAATAAGACAAATAATCCATTAAAATGAATAAAGGATTCAAATAAACATTTCTTTTTTAAAAATATATTTTTATTGATTTCAGAGAGGAAGAGAAAGTGAGAGAAACATCAATGATGAGAGAGAATCATTGATCAGCTGCTTCCTGCATGTCCCACACTGGGGATCAAGCCAGGAACCCGAGCATATGCCCCGATAGGGAATCAAACCATGACTCCTGGTTCATAGGTCAACACTTAACCACTGAGCTATGCTGGCTGGGCCAAATAAACATTTCTTCAAAGAAAATATTCAAATGGCCAATAAGCACATGAAAATATTTTCAACCTCATTATTCATTAGGAAAATACAAATCAAAGCTACAGTGACAGATAACTTCATATCCAATATGATGACTATAATAACACGATAAATAATAAATAAAAGTTGGCAAGGAAATGAAAATATTGGAACTATTATATACTGCCAGAGAGATTGTAAAATGGTACAGCTGCTTTGGAAAAGAGTTTGGTCAATCCTCCAAAGGTTAAACATCCATATGACCCAGCAATTTTACTTCCAGTTCTATACCTAAGAAAAGTGAAAACATATATCCACACAAATACTTGTACACAAATGTTCATCACAGCATATATATATATATATATATATATATATATATATATATGCCAAGAGACTGGAACGACCGTAATGACCAGTTGCTATGACGTGCACTGCAGCTAGGCCGGCCCAGGGAAGGGCCATGTGAGGTTGGGGGGCCCCAATCGGCACCCCTCGACCTCCCATGGCCCCTCCCCCAACCAGCCCAGCCCTGATCGGCCCCCATCAAGATAGGCTGGCCGGACCTCACCCATGCATGAATTCGTGCACTGGGCCTCTAGTTATTCACAATAGTCAAAAAGTGGAAACAATCAACTGTCCATCCGCTGATGAATGGATAAACAAAATGTGGCATAGCCATACAACAGAATATTATTTGGTCACAAAAAGGAATGAAGTACTTATTCATGCTACAACAGGGATGAACCTTGAAAATATTATGGAAAGAAGCCAGTCACAAAAGACCACATATTGATTATATGATTCCGTTTATATAAAATGTTCAGAATAGGCAAATCTATGAAGACAGAAAGTAGATTAGTGGTTGTTTAGGGCTGGCAAGGAGAGGTGGAAGGAAATGAGGAGTGACTGCTAATGGATACAGGGTTTCTTTGAAGAATGATGAAAACGTTTCAAAATTGTGTTAAAAGATGCACAATTCTGTGAATATAGTAAGAAAACATTGGATCGTACAATTTGAACAGGTTAACTGTACAGCATATGAATTACCTCCATGAAACTATTATGAAAACATACAGAAAAAGTGTGAAGGTGTGAAACTGAGAGAGCACAATACATTTAGGAGATTGGCTGTGCTGTGCTGTGTTATGGCTAGAACATAGAGAATATGAAATAGAAAGGCAAGATATGGGGCTAAAGAGAAAGTAGGGAAAGTCCAAAAACCTTGTGTGACAGGTTAAAGTTTATCTTGAAAGCTACCAGAGGGAGAGGAAGCTGACTAGTGACATAAAGGATGTTTGAGTGCTATTAAGAGCCCAGCTAGCCCAGCTGGAATGGCTCCGTGTTTGAGCATTGACCTATGAGCCAGGAGGTCACTGGTTCCATTCCTGGTCAGGGCAAATGCCCACGTGGCAGGCTCAATCCCCAGTAGGGGGTGTGCAAGAGACAGCCGATCAATGATTCTCTTTCATCATTGATATTTCTATCTCTCTCTCCCTCTTCCTTCCTCTCTGAAATCAATTAAAAGAAAATATATATATATATATATATATAGATATATGTATATATATATTTTTTAAGAGCCCAGCTAATGCTAGAAATCAAAGGGTGGTACCTATTTATAAGGCTGTATAAATATCTTCAGCAGTGCTCTATACCCTGGCTATAAGAACAGAGATAATAGATGGCTGGACTTTACTGGGGCCGAGTTATAGGACAAGCGAAATAGAAAAACAAGAGATAAAGGAGTTTGAGGGTGTACTAAGAAGGAAGAGAGGGAAGGAGGGCTCTGACTAAAAAGAATAGACATGGTCGAAGGCTTAGTGATTCCAATGAAGCTTATATAACCAGAATGAGGGATTGCTAGAATAACAGGGGTTTTCATCGAGGGTGTTAATGATAGTGTCATATCATTACCAGATTCAAAACATCCAAGTTATCTTTAACCATTCCCTCCCCTTAAACATGCATTAGTGTTAAGTCTCACTGATTCTTCTATAATTCTTGCAGTTCTCCCCTGCTTTCCATTCCTAATCCTACCAGAGCTTCATTATGTTTCCATTTGATTCTTGATGTAGCTTCATAACAGGTCTCCCAACCTTTAGTCTTTCTTCCAGTCCAAAATAATTTTTCTAAATAACTATCATGGTCATATTCTGTTTCAATTGCTCCCCACCATTTATGAAAGTTCCAAATTCTCTGTATGGTGATCAAGAGCCTCATGCTCTAGTCATGACTTAGCTTTTCATTATTTTCCTCTACTGTCCTCCATACATCTTACTAGCTAATCAGACTGAACCCCTCAACATTTGCCAGTGACCTTATGCTTTCTTGCTTTCAGACTCAGGTTCAGGAAGTTCTCTTACCTAGAATTCTCATGCCCATATGTACCAGCACAATTCCACCATTCTTCGAGTCCCAGACCAATGATACTTTAATCCCTCTGACAAATATAATCTCTTTTTTCTCTTAATTGCTATAAAACTATGCTTGTTTAAGACTGCTCACTGTATTATATTTTATCATTATTTATGTAGCTTAAATCCCTTATTAACCTGCAAAGAATCATATCTTACTTTATTTTTGTATCCTAAGTACCTTGAATAAAACACACTTTCAAAAGAACATCTGGTAAAGGAATAAATCTTACAAGTATGACCTTCTATGGAAGATCACAACATAGTGGATCCTCTAGAACAGAGGTTCTTAAATTGAGCCAATAAACCCGAGGGGACTAACCAATTGACTTCAGCGTCCTGAAGATGTTATGTGTATGTACAAATGTAAGCATATTTGTACATGAATTTTTCTGGGGCAAAAGTCCCTTTCATCAGATTCTCAAAAGGGTTTTAGCTCAACCAGTGTGGCTCAGTGATTGAGCATCGACCAATGAACCAGAAGGTCACAGTTCGATTCCAGGTCAGGGCACATGCCCGGGTTGAGGGCTCGATCACCAGTGGGGAGTGTGCAGGAAGCTTGATTCTCATCATTGGCGTTTCTATCTCTCCCTCTCCCCTTCCTCTCTGAAATAAATTTTTAAAAAATTGTTTTATATTTAAAAAATTGTTTGTGCAGTTACGTTAATCTAAAATGGAATCCTTAGTATAAACGTTTTTCCATTTTCTAAAACATTTATAGATATTAAAAAAAACCCCAGCTGAGATTTGATAACAAATATCTGAAGTGTGGGTTGGGGAGCAGTGGATGGGGATATAAATGATACAATATTGGCCATGGTAACTGTTGGAGTAATTGGTTCATGGGAACTCATCTTATTAGTCACTCTGCCTTTGTACATGTTGGAAATTCCAACTTTATTTTTTAATGAAAAAAAATAAAGCCCTCAAAAGGTTAAAAACACAGCTTGTATCAAACTTTAGGATTAAACCAGCCTCTCAGGAAGGCTCTGGCTTATGTAGTTGCTTCCCAGGAACTAGACCAAAGTCACACTGGCTTATCTGAAGTAGAACAAATGAAACATCATTTGCTGCTTTCCATACCAAAAGAAAAGTTTTACTAGAATCAAGTAGTTAGGCTATCTAAATAATTAACATGCATTAAAATGAAAAAATATGCAACGAGTTTGAGAAAATTTTCTTACTGTGCTCAACATTGCATATAATATTAAATTTTAAGCTTCACATTTTTATTTTTATTTATTTTTAGTATTTTTATTGATTTTTAGAGAAAGAGGAAGGAAGAGGGAGAGAAGCATCCATCAGCTGCCTCCTGCACGCCCTCTACCAAGGATTGAGCCCAAAATCCAGGCATGTGATCTCACTGGGAACTGAACCAGCAATCTTTTGGGGCACAAGATGACGCCCAACCAACTGAGCCACACCAGCCAGGGCCTGAGCTTCACATTTTTAGAAAGACATGAGTAATTTAGAGAAGATTCATAGATATACAACAAAAATGGTCAAGATGAATACTTCCTGATCTTATAATAGACTAGAGGCCCGGTGCATGAATTCATGCATGGGTGGGGTCCGGCCGGCCCACCTTGATCAGGGCCTATTGGGCCAGGCCGACTGGAGGGAGGGGCCACAGGCGGTTGGCTGGCTGGCCCCACCCACTGATTGAACTCTGGGTCGAAGGGGACAATTTGCATATTAGCCTTTTATTATATAGGACCAGTGGCCTGGTGCACGAAATTTGTGCATGGGTGTGGGGGTGTCCCTCAGCCCAGCCTCCACTCTCTCCAATCTGGGACCCCTCGGGGGATGTCCGACTGCCGGTTTAAACTGACAGTCGGACATCCCTCTCGCAATCTGGGACCACTGGCTCCTAACCACTCACCTGCCTGCCTGATCGCCCCAACCACTCTGCCTGCCAGCCTGCTCGCTCCCAACTGCCCCTGCACTGGCCTTCTCACCCCCAACTGCCCCCCCCGTCGGCCTCATGGCCCCCAACTGCCCTCCCCAGTCCGCCTGCTCGTCTCCAACTGCCCTCCCCGGCCAGCCTCATGGCCCCCAACTGCCCCCCTCGGCCAGCCTGCTCGCCCCCAACTGCCCCTCACTGCCGGGCCTGATCGCCCCCAACTGCCGGCCTGCTCACACCCAACTGCCCCCCCCCTGCCGGCCTCACGGACCCCAATGACCTGCAACACGCCTGGGCACACCAAGTGCCAAAGAAAAGACCGCCGGAAAAAAAAAACAAAGTCTTTCAACGGCCAACCGCCATGTGTTCCACTAAACTTCAGATAAAGGGCAAACGGAATGCATCATAGGCGGAATTGGGATCGAGAAAGGAAGATGAAGGGCAGAGGATATAAAAGAACCGGGTTCTAGGCCCCGCAGCGCCCCCAAGGTGGGGGAGTACCTTGGAGTATTATATGTTAGACACTTGGCAAATAAGCGAGGATGAAATCCCATCCATATTAAAAAAGAAGGCAAGTAAATGCAAATGGAGAGACCCATAAAACAATAGA